TCTCACTATGTAGTTGAGACTGACCTGAATTCACCATGTAGCCCAGGCTGGTCTCGAACTCACAGTGATCCTCCTGCCTCAGCCTCCTGAGTGCTGGGATTACAGGCATGCGCCACCACACCCAGCTTTCTGTCTTCACTTTGATCATTTCTGCACTGTATGAATTCTAAACAGTTTTTGTACTTTAGGTATTTGTGTACAAGTACCGAACACTAACTGCGCCACTGGAGCTCCAGGTTTGTTTTGTTTTTTTGCCATATGGGGGATCGAACTCAGAACCTTGCACTTGCAAGGCAGACAGCGACACCACTGAGCTAAATCCCAGCCCTACTTCAGGTATTTCTGTCTGACATCTTTTCAAGCATGCTTTATCGCTGTTGACTCTCTCATTCAGATTTCAAACGGTTTTGGTTAGTTCATCCAGTTTTACCTATTTCCCTGAAATTTGCCATGGTCATACTGAGTGAAATTGCTGTGAACTTTTGGTTGGAACTCATCTATTTTCTTCATACCTTCTATGATCTTTTCATAGATTTCTGCTACCTGGTAGTTGTTTTCTTCTCCCTTTGTGACCCCTTCCTCTACCTTGTAAGAGTTGGGAGTCGATTTGGAGATCTTCTATTTCCTTCCTTCCCCATTCTCCTATGGTGTATTTGTGTGTGTGTGTGTGTGTGTGTGTGTGTGTGTGTGTGTGTGTGTCTTTTTTACGTATACACCATCCTCTTTTTTCCTTCCTTTTTTGGGGGGTGGTTACTGCAGGTTGAGGACTAGAGTTTGTGGCTTATATGGACATTTTTTAGTAGAATGTTGCTCCCCTGTGAATAATTTTCAGCTTTGTGTGTCCAATGCTAATATTTATTCTTTCTGTTGTTTACTTTAAGTTATTTAGACTCTGCCCCTGTTTTGCTGACAGAATTACTTCTGCTTATAACAGCATCCATAGATTCAATCGTACAACGCTTTTATATGATAGACCTTGCAGTTTCACTTGCCCCCTTTGTCTATTCTCTAGGCACACTGTGACAGGTTATTTGTAGTTGTTCTGCAGTGAGGTAAGTGGGATGGGGGAAGAGCGAGAGGTAGTTGAATGAGAAGTGTTAGACACTAAACGGGAGGCTTACAGGGGAGAATGGTGGCAGATGAAAAGGAAAGATTGTGGGTTCTGTTGGGGTATTTTTAGTTGAGTTGAAGGGTTACTCTTGAGAGTTTTCAGGAGATATTTTATGTAGGCAAGGGCAAGATATGGGAAAAAGGAGGTTTACTTTGTATGTGATTGAGAAAAGCTATGTGGTTGTCAGAACTTGCTGATAAGGAAGATAATAAGTTGAGTAAGATACGGAAGAGCCAAAGTTTAGGATGGCTAATACTAGAGAAGATGGGAGTGACTGTTGGGGAGATAAGAATGGGGAATGTAAAAACTTGGGAGGAGGACTTTACTTGTTTGGAAAAAAAAAATATGTTACTCATACTGTCTTGGGGGTTTGAGTTGAAGAAACTAGGTAGGGAGATGAAACAAGGGAGAGAATTTAGACACCTATTAAACAAGAGCCAATGAAAGAGCAAATACACAAATGTGACAATCTAATAAACACAGGAAACCATAAAAGAATAACATAACCCTGCATTACTAAAGAAATCAAGAACTATACAAGAAGTTAAACCTATATGATGTCCAGTGGGAAAACAGATTAAATGTTCCAATGAGACATTGCCTATATGAATCCCAAATAGCTTCTTTGCCAGAAAGTCTGAGTGCTCACACCCAGTAACTTCTACTATAATACTGAAGCTAACTCAGACTCAGGACTTCTTTCTATCAGGTTGCAGACTTTCTTGCAGTCTTGTCCAGGCTAAGTTCTTGGGTTAGGTACTCTTGCTGTCCCTCTCCCTGAGTGTGATGGTGGATTCAATAGACAGATTCACTAGCATGAAATTGTCCACAGAGTCAGTATTACTCCTATGCAATTAAAATCAGCTACAGTAGTAACAGGTTAATCCATCACAGTGGTATCTGTCAGGGCTAATTGAGAAACAGCATACCAGGAGACCATGTATTAGGTCTCCCTTTAGCGTAGACAAGAAATCCATGGTTATAGTGTAAACATCTTAACTGTGCAAGTGTTGACCCACAATTAATGTGCACTAACTGTGATGGCTATGTTTCCTTTATTTGTGAGAAACAGCATTCAAAAATAAAAAGTTTTATAGAATCAGTTATATAAAGCCGGGGGTGTGGGTGTGGAAACCAGGTAATTCCAAATAGGAGAAGAGAAGAGAAAAAAAAGAAAATTTAAGTCTTCTGCTACGTGCTATGGGAAAGAGGAAATAGGAGGGGGCAAAGGATCTTAATGATGCTAAGGGTAGGTTATATATCTAGATGGGGATAAAAGGGGAAACGAGACAAAATTGGTAGTGAGAAAGGGGGATAGGAAAAGAATTTATGTCTGATATAAAATTAGAGAAGTTAAAGGGATACGAATGAAAAGGGGGAGAAGAAAGAAAAATTGAAAATGAATAAGACATAAGAGAAAGAAATCAGATGAAGCGATGTGGCTAAATGTAGGAGGGAGGGGAAAAGGGACAATTCCCTTATCATTTATAAACTATATTAAAGAAAAAAATGCAAGAGAAGAGAAGAACACACATAAACACATAAAAGAGAAAAGGTAAAATAATGGAATAGAAGTGTGGGAGAAATGTACAGAAGAAGGAAAACAGCAAAAAATTAAAAAAAAACAAAAAATTTAAAAATTAAACAATAAGATAATCAGAGAATAACAAAGGAAAGTTTTCTGTTGTTTTTGATGCATGACTCTTCTTTAGCCTAAGATTAAGAATCACAGCTCAAGCCAGGATGTGTCTATTCACACTAGAAGTCTGAGGTGGTGGTCTGCCCCTAGAATGGTGCTGGGTTTAGAGATCTGCTCACAGTGAGGACGGACATGAACTTGCAGTCTTGTGTAACTCAGGCTGAACCTGGCCTCTGTCCGCAGGAGCTGGGTCCTGCCCCTCAGCAGCACTAACCCTAGTCTGCTCTCCTCCTGCCGGCTGTCTGCCCTGACTCTTTCTCTCATCCACTCTGAGAACTTGGCAGTATGAAAGGGACTGCTCTTGGACCCAGGTTCAAACCCTCACCCTTCCATACAGGGCATCCCTGCCAGCTCTTGCTTCACAATTGTGGCTGAAGGTGCCATGCCGAGGTTACACATCAACTCTTACTATGAAAGGTTGCTCTGGAAGCAGTGTCGTGCATTTTCCTTGGTGGTTCCAACTGCCGATGATTCTTTTGGTCCTAATGCAGTTCTCTGGTTCTCTATGAGCAAAAAAAAAAGTTGTTAGTTTCACTTTGCTTCCCAGCTGGTGGCTGGCCAGCCACTGTTAGCAGTGATACATGGCCTTTCCTTCGTGGTGTGATCTGCTTCTTCTTTATTACTTAACTCTGTTTTCTTCTCCTCTGTCAGTTCTCTCATGGTTCCTGGGTAACGTCCCAGGAAGGGGGATTCCTCTCCAGGCTATTGTTTTCCAGGCTCTAAACACTTCATTTTGGAGAAGCTGAGTTGCTAGCACTCACTGCTCCACTATTTTGGGACTCATCAGTTAGACTTCAAACCTAGAGTCCAGCTCATGAGACATTAGGTACTCTGCTTCCTCCTGCTTTTCAACATAGCAGTTTCTAGGCCAGACTGCTGTTCACTACAGAGGACTGATATACAGTGGTACCTCGGTTCATGAACTTCTTTCCACAATTCTGGTCACAAAACGAATTGGATGAGAACCAAATCAAATTTTCCCATAAGATCAGCATTGAACTTAACCATTGAATTTGATTCACTTCTCATCCAGTTTGGTCTGCAAGTAGGATCATGGAAAGAATTAAGTTTGTGAACTAAGGTATCACTGTCTGTGCACTCTGGAAGTCAATGTTGCAGATAGGCAGACATTCACAGAGGACAGCTAGATGCCAGTCCTTGTATCTAGTTTATATCCAAACACTGAGAGCTCTCTCATACTTCAGGCCAGGACCTTACACATAGTGGAGAGTAGATAAATATTTCTGGAATGATTAAAAAATAGAGAGAATAAATGTTTAAATGCATTCATCTGTCTGGTATTTTAGTATGCTTTTAAACTTAAAACTATAATGTATGGAAATAAATTTCTGATCCATGTGTGACTAAACCAGACTTGCCATTTTTCTGAACAGTCAAATTTAGTAGTTATTACCAAAGAATATATTTGACAAGAAAAAAATATTTCTTGCCAGTTTGACAACAAATATTTATTGATCACCTACTGTTTGCCTGTACTGTTCAAAACACTGGGATACAGCTAGTGTGATGCAGCTGAGTTTCCCATAAGGGGACAGGCAATGAAAAGGTACACAGACATTTTCTGCTGTTGAAAATATTCCCAGTAATAAAACAGAGCCATGGCATGGGTAGGATGGTTAGAGAATCCTAACGAAAAGGTAACGTTGGGGCTAACTCTGAAGTGATGCAGACGGAGCCAACCACTGAAGGCCTGGGGCAGACCTCCAGGCCAGAGCAACAGCGTGAGCAGGAACAAGAAACAGTGAGGCAGATGTCAGCCAGGGTGTTTGAGAAACCTAGGGATGGCCAGTGGTCCAGAGCACAGTGAGTGAGGGGAGAGGCTTTTAGAGCAAGACAACACAGGGCTTGCCCGTGGGTGGCTCTTGGCCACAAATCAAGACTATGGTGATGTCTCACTTGTGAAAATGTTGCTGTTACGATCATAACAGTAAATAATGGTAAATATGTACACATCACCAATAATTTAAACATAATGAATAGACCTTCCATAGAATTTATGTAAAAAAAACTGGTAAGGTGAAAGTGATTTAAAATAATGGCTTTATGTATTTAATAATTTATGTTATCCTTTAAAATATATGGTATGTGGCTAATTTTTTATGCCTTTAAAATAATATACTATGTTGCTAATTGCTTGCAAACAATATTTATGTTGATTTCTCATTAAAGGTTAAAAAGCTGAAGAGAGAACTCTCACAGATGAAGCAAGAACTGCTTTATAAAGAACAAGGCTTTGAAACATTGCAACAGTGAGTATAAAAATATTGAAATTGACTTTACAATAATTCAAAGCTCCCTGACTAATACAAGGAAAATAGAAGTACAGATTACATAAAAGATTTCTCAAACATAAAGCAAAAAAGCTCAAAGCTTTGTACCAAAAATAAAAAAAAGCAATCAACTAACAACTAAAAAACTTGAGAAAAATCTATATACTTTGAAAAGGTCTAAAGTTTTTATTAATCGTTGGAGACCCAAAGAAACCAAAGTGAAAAACTTAACTTTTTCTCTTGGACCCCTGCCAGTGTCTTCTAAAACAGTAGTAAAAAGCTAAGGAAACAGGCACAGGAAGACCTCTTCACATTCTGCACTGGAAACAGGACTGAGGAACTATATTCTGAGTCTCCTGTGAATGATCTCAAAAGAGCAAGAGCAAGTTTTAGGTTTCTGCAAAGGAGCTTGATTCTCTTTCTTGTTTTCCTTCTATTTTCATTTTAGTTATCAAATCTGATAGACCATTGAAATAGCTTTAGGCTAGGCCAGATTTAAAGAAAATGTAGATGAGGGGAGTGTGTAGCAGGTTCTCAAAATCCCCACACCATTCCCACATCTGGAAACTACTGCTCTCTCTGCTAGTTAGACCACACTCCCTAACCAAACTGTGAGTAAAACATGCTTGAGACTTTTTTCTCCCCGTTCCCTAGCCAGAGACTTCTCACGGAGAAGAAGCCTGTGGTTTTCACAGCCACTAGATAGGGTAGAAGGTGTTGTCCCTTGAAAGACTCAGCTGTTTTTTGTGTCTTTCCCACGTGGCACAGGCTTCGTGCCACCAGTGGTGGTGCAGTATGTCTAGGGCTTCCTTGATCAGTTTCAGGCAGATTTTTTACTCATATCTCCTCAAAACAGCATCAAGGTAATGTCAAACTGCTCTCAGGAGCCATCTCTGGAAAGTACCCCGCTTTGTTCCTTTTCTGTGTGCAGTGCTTTCTGTTTTCTGTGCTTAAGAAATTTGGAACAGTCCAAGGCAGCAAGGCACTACACCCTTAAAGATCCTGTACATCACTGGCCAGACAAACAGATGCTGATTGTTCTGTATGTTCTCATGGTGAGTTGTGTCTTAGGATGCCCAATTACTATTCTCGATAGCCAGTCAAGAACGTGATTTTAGTGTCAGATATTTGCTTTTATGACTTTTCTTTTTGCTACTTGCCTCCCGTAATCCTGATGTTGATATTCTTTTCAGATGCATCCATGCTAGTGTCTCTCAAATCTAATTACCTGTGAGAATAATTTGGGGAGCTCTTAAGAAGTATTTGTCTCTGGTCTTGACTCAGACATGTTTTATGAGGTCCCAGGTGGTTTTTGAGTATTGCCATGTTCTAAGAATCTAGCCCCACTAAAAACCCAGCAGAACAAGAGATGAATATATTGTTTAGTAATTGTGCATCAGCAGCATAAAGCAGGACACTGTGGTAGGGATGGGAAGAGAAAGCAAACTTTGAAGAGTGCCACAAAATATTTAGCCATACGTTAAACATTTTTATGGCACATGAAATTATAACTCACATTACCACCCAGGATTAAAGGTTAGCCAAACTTGCTGTTTTTGTTATGTTGATGTGACAATGCTGTATTGTTTCGAAGTAGTTTGCTTGCAAGCAATTTTTATAGGAATCTAAGGTATGTTGAAGAATCTGTCAATAACATTCCACAAGAAAACAATAGATATTTGTTGTAGAAATTCAGGCATTCTCTTGGAATGATTTTAATCCCTTGAACCAAGAGCAGAAGGATATCTCACATCAGGACCTCTTCTGTTGATCTTAACTGTAGACAAAATAAAGCTGTTTTCATTCAAACGTTAACTACCTACTACTAAAACAAAGATAATTGATTGAACCCAGAGACCAGACTTTTTAAGATTCCACATTCCTAATACTAGAAAGGGGCTTTTATTTGTGACTGTGACAGAAAGTACATTTAGGAAAAGATTTAAATAGAATCCCATTGCAGGCTTTTGTAACTTTCCAAATATTCGTAATAGAATGTAAGATTTTTGTTGAATCTGGAATAATAATGTAATGTAAACTTGGACTTTCATTTTTCTTGATAGAATAGTTTTATGCTAGGTGAACAAATATCATTTTATTCCCTACATTATTCATTTCAGTTTCTGAAGTGAATCTCAAATTTGACTTTGGCCTAGGTAGCATATAGCTTATTTGTAGATGGTTACCAGGACGATGCATGTTTCTATCTTGCCACCTCCAGCATGCTCTCAAAATTGGAAAATGGAAAGTGATGAAACACTCAGCAAGCCAAAAGAATGTACAGATCCCATGAAACTTTGGCACTGGAGGTACACATTTTCCAAAGAAGGCATGCAAATTGAAATCCTTCACAAGAGACTCAGAAAGTACAAGTTAATTTTAGGGCACACAAGCTAAACTTAAAACAAATTTAAGAAAAACAATAGGTACTTCTTAAGTTCTTCTTAAGACAAAAAGCACAATACTTCATTTAAAAAGCCATCAAAAGGATCAGTGTAGTGTATAGCGCAGTGGTACAGCATTTGCCTAGCACATGCAAGGCAGCTCTAAGTTCAGTACCCACCACACACAACACACACACAACCACACGCACACACACACACACACACACACACACAACCACACGTACAGAAAGCAGCAAACCGGCAAATAATGCCCATTTTAGTTTAAACTCAGGTATGTGAAAAGAGAGAAAAGGTTGGAAATGAGAAGTGGAGGAGAAAAAGGAGAATCATGGAAATAAAGGGGAAAAACAGCATTTGAAGTAAAGGAGAGTTCAAAAGAGTCAGAAGAAAGGGAATGGAAGACAAAATGGCTTGTGGGGAGTGTGCAGAATGGTAGCTGGTTCCTCATGTTGGTCATGGTGTGGACCAGTAGGTAGCCGAGAACAATTCATCTAGTTTTAAAACTCTTTGAAATTTAAATTAGCAGTCTGAACTAGTTGTGCTTTTACTTACTTTCTTACTTATTTATTTATTTTGGTACCAGGGATGAAATTAAGGACCTTGCACTTGCAAGGCTGATGGTGGCACCGCTGAGCTAAATCCACAGCCCTGTACTTTTATTTTTAAATGTTAGATTTGTTTGTTTGTTTGTTTTGTTTTGTGTTTGGTATGGGGGATATAATTCAGAACTTTGTGCTTTCTAGGCAGGCAGCGGAACCACTCACCTAAATCCCTGTTAGTTTGTTTTAACGTTTTTAATTTCAAATGATAAGGTTATTTCTGAATTAAAGATGTATTTCATCATTGTTACATTATGAGGATTTTATACAAATAGGAAGAAATTACTTGGGCTTGGAAGTTCACTGATGGTTTCAGATACCTTTATTACTAGCTTTTCCATAAAAATCTCATAGTTTCTGTTTTTTGCTTATTTGTTTTTAGTTTTTAAAATACTGTACTTGTGTACAAATCCCAAAATGCAGTAGTTGGAATGACATTTATTTTATTTAATAAGGTTTTGCCTCAGCTAAATTGGTGGATATAATACCTAGAGGAACCAAAAAATTCACTGATACCTGTCTTCCAAATACTCAAAGTATTTCACTCTTCTCATTAAACATTCTAGGAGTAGTAGTCATAAGAACTCAAAGCTAGAATTTGTCATTTTAGAATTGTCCCGCTAGCTAAGTGTTTGTGCACTTTAGGGGCTAAATTTGCACAGGCTTTCTGGCCTCAGTTTCTTTATTTTGAAAGTGTAGTTTGGGAATCTCTAGGGCCCTTCCCCGTCCTGTGTGTGTGTGTGTGTGTGTGTGTGTGTGTGTTCTGTGGATTCCTTAGTTATATTTTATCATCAAGTGACCTTATATGATCATTTATTTTATTAGGTTTTTAAAGGCTTTAATTGCTTACTCAGTAGTATAAACTATTTGCTGAAATAGTACTTAGGGAAATGTGTTATCTGCAAACTGCACTTGTTTGAGTTTGGTAGAGTGTTTAAGATAGCATTGTTTTGTTTTTTTCCAAATTGTACCTTTTACATTGAAAATATGTATTAATTATTAAAAGTTTTAAATCAGATGAGCTCAGACCATTTTTTCTGATATAGTAGGTGCCATTTCTCTGGGGAGTCTGTGGATAACATCCAGATCACATCTGAGAATGTGTATAGAGCTGGTGGCTGATGGGATAGAGGCTTAGTTCCACAAATAGAGCTCAAATTTTATTTTTAATGAATCCTGAACAACATTGTGGCTGGAGGGACTAGGAAGGTGACCATGAAGAGAATGTTTAACTATTTTAGAAAAAGGATTTGATAACTTGATTGAGCCTTTCAAACACAAAGAATTAGATTACACAAAATCCTCTAGCCTTGGATAGTGGTGTAAACTGTAAGGACATTTGATAAGCAGATCTGCAGGGATAATAAATTAGCTCACTGAAGGCCTATTTACTCATTGCGAATTGACAAATGCACACATCTGCCCTTCTTATTCCTAAATGTCAACTTATTCAACAAGGCAAGCAATTTTCTCATTTCATAACTTTAATAAAAGTAGAAAAGTGATTTTTGTATATTGAGAAAGAAATAAGAAACCATAAATCCAAAGTATATTAGGTTACTCACTAGGATAAATAATAATGTATTAAGTATTTATTAAAAGCCTACCCAGCTGCCAGCCCTGTGCTAGGTTCACACAGACATCATGGTGTGTAAATTAGGTGGCCATTTACTGGCATTTCTGTCCCGCTATAGCATTTGCTTCTGCCCTTTACTTGTGTCAGAGTGGAAATCAGGATCAGCTTGTGATGAGTTGGGTTCAGCTAGCAGTGGGATCATCCAAGCAGACTGAAGACAAAAAGGCAGGTATTTGTTTCAGCCTGAAAGTGATTGAAAATGGGCTAGATATGAGGTTTGGGATGGGAGAAATCTTAACTGGACATGATTAAAAGAGGAAAGAAAAGACACAATCCTGAGATGATGGTGTTGTTGTATGAGAGTCGTGAAGTAAAATAATCAGCCAACTAAGACAATCCAAAACCGATTCCTACTGCTCATTTAATTTGTACTGTGTCATGCTTTGATATTTTTCTTTTAACAGAATTGATAAAAAAATGTCCGGAGGCCAGAGTGGGTATGAACTTAGTGAAGCCAAAGCCATTCTAACTGAACTGAAATCTATCAGAAAGGCAATTAGCTCAGGAGAGAAAGAAAAACGAGATCTGATGCAGGTATGTTATAGAACATGTTAATCTTCTGCTTTCTGGGGCTCCACACACTTCTCTAGTGCAATCTTGATGACCATTATCACTTCAGTCCCATTTGTGCTGTGTTGAGCCCTGTGGGAGATAGATGGTAACAGGCTCAGAGGCAGCCCAGCTTCTCATGTGCTTCATTGAAGGTACGCCATGGGTGTTCTTTGAGATGGTGGGTGGTAGAACCTTGAACCCACAGACTGAGATTAGCAAGGTTCTTTAAACTAGTGATCCTTAGCACAGGATACATACTTGTAAGCATTTGCTATTGTCATTGTCTTTTCAGTAGGTAGACAGTATGCCTTTTGGGGTGGGGCTACTTGAGAATCTTAGAACAGCTTCTTTCCATCCAGTTGAGTCTGAAGTGCAGCTAAGGATGGGATGGAGGATGGTTGACCTAACACAGGAAAGCTGCTACTAATAGGAGATCTCCTTGTTATTTCTGTGTAGTTCTCAACCTTGGGTCTTAATTCCCAATGACCCAATCTCATGTATAAAAAAAATACAGCAGCCATTTAGTCATCATTATTCTGAATATATAGATTCATCAGGTATAGTCAGGTTTTTTGAGGATGTCTCCTTTTCTTCCATCTAATAATTATTACATAGTCTGAGAATTCAGGATTTCTTTATCTAGATGAGTAACAATTTAGCATATGTCTTTGGGAAAATGTTAAACCCAATGGTGATATTTGCATTTTTAATAGAACCTCTATATTTAAATACTGTACTCAGCTATTATCTTTTGGCTTTCAAAATGTTACTTGAATACAGATAAATATTCTTGGATCCTTATTTTTAATTTGGGTAATTTTGAAATAACTTGCAAGAAGAGATTTAATAGAAAAGACTATAGTGATAATAGCAAATGCTTATAAGTTCTGACTTTGTGCTAGACACTCTTCTAACTGCCTTATATGTAAATAGTTCACATAATCCTCAACAACAACTTCTAAAGGTGTTATCCTCAGCTTATAGACAAATTGTGGCAAAAAAAATTAAGTAAGTTACTTAAAGTCAAATAGGGGTGAGTAGTAGAACTGGGGGATTCAAATGCAGATAGTCTTGCTCTAGAATATGTAATTTTAGCACATACATACACATTTAACACATAATACAAGAATCTACTTATATTTATTTTGGTTATGTTCCACAGTTATCCTACTGATTAAATTAATAATTCCACAATGTACACAATAGTTCCTTTTAAAGAGAAGTTAGTGAACAAATGTATATTAGAACCTTATAATTCAACAAGGTTAGATCAGCTTTGATTCTTCTTGTAAACTTTAGATTCACACACAGGACAGATTAAATTAAAAGATTAATTTCACTTCAATTACTAAGCATTACATGATAATTAATTAGTACATACAGAAATCAACAGTGGAGCTGGAAGGGACATTAGATATCTTCTGTGACTTTCAAACCTCTTTGAGCACAGTAAAAAATATATTTTACATCAAAAACCAATAACACATGATTATGTGTCCCTATAGATATACACATTCAATTTAAATTTCACAGAAATATGCCTTACTGGTGATATACTCTGATTTTATTTTCTGGTATTTTGTATTTCATTAAAAAATATACTAATCACAACCTACTATATTGATTGAGTACATTGACATCCCAGAAGGTAGAAAAACACTAATCTTTTCAATTTACAGATGGAAACATAGATAAGATTATCTAAGATTACTGAAAGCTTTCTTTGTTGTTTTCTGTAATATATTATTTGATGTGTCTATGTAAGTTTTATCCTATAAAGGTAGGAAAAGTTAAATATTTTCTTATGGAAAACTTAAAAATCAGGATTAAATACTGGCTCTTAACATTGATAATCATGACAGCCAGGCATGGTGGAGCACACCTGTAATCCTAGCCCTTGAGAGGCTGAGGTAGGAGGATTGACGCAAATTCAAGGCTAGCCTGGGCTACATAGTGAGACCCTGTCTCCAAAAAAAAAAAAAAAAGGTTGATATTAATATTACTCTAGGGTTTACTTTTTCTTTTTCAAAAAGAAAATTAGGTAAGATTTTCCTTTTAATTCTTTTACTTGTGCATATACTCCCTCTAAACCTATCATGTTCAACTTGGGTAGCAGTAGGAGGCACATTACTTTGATCATTTTAGCAAACCAACTACTACCATAGGCAGTGTCATCTAATAGACACATAGATAGGCTTAACGGAGGCTTGGGTCACTCTTTAGCAATTAGAGATTTCAGTTTCCTAATCTCTAACATTAATGTAAACTGAGTAATCTCTTGGGTCCTGTTCAGATATAAAATGGCAAAAATAAAAAAGTCTTGTAAGACTTTGTTGTATATCTAATTGAGAGATTGCATTAGAAGTATTCTGTGTTTTCATAATTTATATTACATCAAGTGAGTGATTCTGTATTAGTATGAGGCTGGATACTTTATGAGAACAGAAGCTTATTTAGCTGATAGTTTTAGAAGCTGAAGAATTGTTCAGCCCCATTGGTTCAGCCTCTGGTAAAGGCCCCATTGTGAATGGCATCACAATCATGGGATTTCATTTTGAAGAGATCACATGTCAAGACAGGAAGCGAGAGAAATTCAGAGACCATGTGTGTTGTTTTTTTTTTTTTAATAAGAACTCACTATCTCAAGAACTAACTGGAATCTCTCAAGAACTACAGTGATCTCTTCCCATGAGTGTTAGCCGCTGTCCTAAAAATACTGCACTGACCCTACTCAGAGTCTACTTCCTCTGAATATTGTCACATCATGGACTAAACTTATAGTAAAAAAACCTTTGATTTTTTGGGGGGTACCAGGGATCAAACTCAGGACCTTACACTTGTGAGGTTGGAACCACTGAGCTAAATCCCTGGCCCTAAATTTATCTATCTATCTATCTATCTATCTATCTATCTATCTATCTATATATATACACACACACACATACACATATATATATACACATACATATACATACACACATATACATCCATATACATACACACACACACACACACACACAGGCACTATCATTCATAGGCAAATGCTGCCTTGGGAAAGGTAAGACAATCTCTTTAATATGATCTCAGATACTTTCAAAGTCACATCTGTGCATGTACAAACTTATATTCTACTCTTATTTTTAAAATAATACAAAGTGGTAAAGGACTTAAAATAATTGTTTTATTCTGTGAAATTAGCTCTTTCCATTTAATTTTATCTGGTGGAGAATGTCTTCTTACATGTTAAATTTTATGAGATCCTTTGTGTTTCCTGGACAGAGTCTTGCTAAGCTGCAGGAGCGATTTCATTTGGATCAGAACATTGGCAGATCAGAGCCAGATTTGAGATCCAGTTCTGTGAATTCTCATTTATCTCTTTCCAGACAGACTCTTGATGCTGGGTCACAAACAAGCATTTCTGGAGATGTAAGTTATCTATGTCATTGGTTGGCCTGGTGCTGTCCTTGATGGGCCTTAATGACAGTATGGGTGGTGAACTGGCACAGGAGCTGGGTACATGGTTTGCATTCTGGCCATGTGCATTCAGCATTTTATCTTTTAAGATGGGTTTAAAAATCATAGCCTTATCTCTTTGTCAAGGTGCCAGACACGTCAAGACTTGCTCAAATGAATAGCTTTGTTCAAACTTCCTCAGAACTACATATTTTAGAGACTGTTGAAAGGCTAGAGATACATATAATTTAACTTATTCCTATTAAGTTTAGAGCCTTAGAAACTTAGGTTAGGTTGAATGAGCATTAAGGCTAATGAGAAACAGAAAGATGCCTTTCAAACTTAACAAGAAAATTTCTTTTTGTAAACTTAAGGCTGATTATATGAAAATGTCTAATTTGTGATATATAGCTAACAGTTGCAAATATTTAACCTGGCTTGTATATTATTAACAATTTTGCTTTTTCCCTTTTGGAATGCCATTAGTAAGTATTTACCTTTCAGAAAGTTCCCGGTTATTTTTGTTTTCTCTTATTCTTCTTTGAAGCAGGTGCTGTGAAAGAAAAATAGCTAGAGATCAACTTGTTTAAAAATTAATTTTTGAGATTATTTAGTTTATATTTTGTACAGTTGGGAGCTAAAGGATGGAAATTTTGGCTCATAAAAGCAAAGAAATCAGTTCCAGTTCATAAATTTTATTAACCTGTATACCCTTCATAAACTTTTAGATACCAGACACATTTACCTGGTATTTTTGTCTTGAATTTAATGTGTAGAGAAAGTAATGTTAAAGTCTTTGCAAAACAGACAAGCTTGAATTGAAAGAAATGTTTTGCCCCTACTGAGACTATAAAGTGTCTTTTTAAAACTGGTGCTTTTCCATTTCAGTACCATTTTCTTGAGCTTTTCAATTACTTGCACTTCCTAGAAACAAAAGCAGTTTACTTCATTCATAAACAGAGTTAATTGACTTTTTTTCCCTTTGTTTTTACTAGATCGGAGTGAGAAGTAGATCAAATTTAGCTGAAAAGGTCAGGCTAAGCCTACAGTATGAAGAAGCCAAAAGAAGGTAAGGACCAGGGAGCTGTTTTGTTCATGGTCATTGGACTCAAGCTTTGTTTTCTCTTTCAAAGTTAATCTTTACTCCTATGGTGACATCTGCTGGGTGCTCTCCATACTTTTTGCCCTGGGTATTTTAACATATAAGGGTCTCTCTCCTTCCATTTCCCTTCCCATCCAAGCTGATGAAGAATAAGAATTAATGAGAAGCGTGGGAATAAAATTGACTCCTTATCTTCTGGATAAAAATGCTTTGAGCTTATACAGGACTCCCTATTAAAAGGGAGAAGATTCAATCCTGAGATGGAGGAATGGCTCAGGGGCACAAGACTTGATAGCTGTTGAGGAGTTCTGAAGTAAATATCTATGAGCAATTCATCTGGTTGGAAGAGAAGTCTTACAGCTAACTTCCTTGAAAGTGCTGCAGTATCTGCTCCAGTTGACTTATTTTAAGGAGGAAAAAGTCATCTTCTTATTTCTCTCCTTTACTTTGTGAACTCTTAGGAACCTCTGGGCTTTCTTTTTCTTACTTCTGTGACTTTGCTAGGGTGAGGCACAAGAGACTTCACTGTCCTTATCTAGTAGGTAGATTCAAATTGTTTTCATAATATAACACACCTTACTTGTTTGGAGAGAGAAGGTCACACTGATATAGCTGATTTGATTACTGTACTTTCCTTGGAAGACCTTTAAAATGCTATTGGTTTATTACTTAGGAGACTTTGGGGGAGAACCATATTGTCATCCTGCAGGAGATCAAGGAATTTATAATGTTCCCCTCCATGAGCATGAAAACCAACTAGGGTTTCATACATTCCTACCATAAGTAAAACCATCAGATATCAAAGTACTATAATCCATTACAGTGGGGCCGCGTTTCACGAACTTGATTTGCTCCACAGTTCTGGAAAACATGGTTACATTCATGTTCATGCAGTAAAGACGGCCTCAGTTGTGTTCAGCACTCAGTGCAGAGTTCACAAACAAAAGCACAATTTTGCTACATGCTTCTGTTTGCAAACCAAACTTTTCACAAACAAATGAATCTGTGAACCGAGGTACCATTATATTATTGGTTATGGTGAAAATGTAAAAGTAATTAGCCATCATTATTAGTTCATCTGACACTAACAATGTAAAATAAATATCATATTTACCAATATTTATCCTATAGCAGCCAGATTCCTTGGTTCTGCTGTGGACAAAGTCCTGGATTTATATCTGGTTTTCTAGAAGAGAACGACTCTAACTCAGAATTAACATTGGCAGGATCTCAAAACGGGCGTGGTGGCGCACGCCTTTAATCCATCATTTGGGAGGCTGATTGCTGTGAGTTGGAGACCAGCCTGGGCTACATAGTGAGTTCCAGGTCTCAACTACATAGTGACACCCTGTCTCAAAACAACAACAACAAAAAAACATTGGAGGATCAAGCCTTGTTCCCATGTTCTAATGGGCTTGACTGTTCATTTGGGTCAGTTTGAGTGTTTGCTTTATTGTGGTTGCTAATAGTTAATTCCATCTGGAGTTTACCCAGCACTTATCTTCATATTCATTCCTGGGTGTCTTCTCATACTTTCTCCCAGATTTGGTGGGCCTTTTTAAGATCTACCTAATGTCTGATCACATAAATAATAAATGCAAGCCTTTCTTGATTGCATTACATATTTGTTCATTTGGTTAATTCAGTCAGATCAAAACTTGAAGACATTGGTTCTTTCCTTTATGGTTGCATTACTGTACTATTTGGGGTTTTATTTTAAAGTTACTAGTTATGCTCATGAGAAGATAACTCTCAAGTGTACATGCATATGTTGAAAATGCATTTTCCTCCTCAATTCTGAATAAGTTAAAAGGTAGGTTTTTCTAAAACCTTTTTTCCTCCCCCAACCTTTGTTTTGTATGCTTAATGTAGCTGATAATATCATGCTTATTTAGCACTTTGATGATTAATTTTCCAGTATGTTGAGACAGTTGTTTATGGTTTTGTGGTTAAAATAGCTGATGTTACATCTATCATAATTGCATATGGTAGGTGAAAATGAGAAGAATACTACATATGTAATGCCATTCTAAGATAGAAATTGTCTTAAACTAAAATAACTTAATGGCATAGAATGTAGAATACTTTCATCTTTGTTCTTAATTATTCTTTTGTTTATCCCCTTTCTTCCCTTTTACAATTTCTTCCATCAAAAACATTTTTAAATTCTTCTTTTCTGTGTGCTATAACAATATCCAAAGCAATCATCCAGCATTTTAAAAGTAGAGACATAGATTTCTTGTGTCAATATCAGTTGTGTTCATAATCTGCCTGGATCTTGGGATTTATGGTCACAAGAGCGATGTGCAGTTTACCTCGTGCGAAGTCCTTTTGTCTTCACAGTGCCACAGAGCAAGTTAATTAACTCAGGTGGTTCAAGACATTCATGTTGAATTGGGAATTACATTAGCATAACGATTTATTATGGAGCTGTATGCATAGTGAAATCTGGGGCCAGGCAAAATTATGAAACCAGTAAATTTACCCTTAGTGTATCTTCTTCCTGTTCCTGCAGCAGCCAAGCCCCTGTTGGAAAAGAGACTTCACTGTGTGAGGCTTACGGAGAATGTGAGTGGGAGGAGACCAAGTCCTGCTCCCTTTTTTCTTGGGTGATGTGAAACCTTGATGGATCGACTTTGCTTTAATACAGGTTGACCAAGGCACTGTTCTCTTTTCCTCCCAGTTTCCTTCCCTGACTTGCTAATCTCTAGTCCCTACCTGAACTACCCTCAGGATTACCATTTTACTAGGGAATAGCATCTTGACCTAAAGGAACAAAATCTATAATCATAACATTTCGGGCATCATTTACCTCCATGTTTTTGAAGAGCAAGAACCAGGGTGCTCCTCCTGTCCTCCCACAAAGGCAGTGACATATCAGGGCTGCCTACCCATGCACCCCAGAGCGCTCTGCTTTTGAGGCTTATGCTTTTGGGAGATGTGCTGCCTACTCTGGTAAGCTTAATTGGGAAGATCTGGACAGCAGCTCTACCTCAGAATTAGCTGGCTTTTGTGTGTCTTTCTCAGGAGTCCTAAGTAGGTATATGTGTCTTTTATATATTTCAGTATGGCCATCTTAAAAATTGAATTGTCAAAGTTGGACAGTGAGGCCTGGCCTGGGGCACTGGATATTGAGAAGGAGAAGCTGATGCTGATAAATGAAAAAGAAGAGTTTTTGAAAGAGCTGCAGTTCATCACGCCACAAAAACGCACACAAGTTGAACTGGAACACCTGGAAGCCGAAAGGCAGCGGCTAGAGGAAGAGCTGCTTTCTGTGAGAGGCACACCTAGTCGGGCTCTGGCCCAGAGGTATGATTTCCTCCTGGGAACAGGGCACTTAAACTTGTTCTCATAGCTTAGCCGATGACAGTTTCCTTGGGTTTGGAAATCTCAGTTACGTCTGTTTTTAGTGGTTGGTGAAACAAAACAAAGGACTTTCTTTATGTAGAGCAATAAAGCACACTCTCCCCGTTCCCCACAGTACCAGTTCCTCTTTGTTAGAAATGTGAAATGCCTGCGACAGATGTCGAATAACTAAAGAATGTTGACATAAAACCAGGAATGCGGTACGTCATTGACTGAGTCTGATAACAATGGCTATAAACTATTACACTCTGATAAGAAAGATTATATAGACTGTTGCAGGGACAGAAGCTTCCTATTTTGGGTTTGTTATAAGATTATAAAAGTTTATTGCTTCTAATTTCATAGGGAAAAGACAACTTGTTCCCTTTGGTATTTTAACAGGTCACACATGTTCCTTGGGTTCTGTTTCATTTTTTGAGGCAGGGTCTTGCTATGTAGTTTGGGCTGCCCTTGAACTTACCATGTAGCCCACGTTGGTCTCACATGTGTGGCAATGCTCCTGCCTCAGCCTCCCAAGTGCTGAGATTACAGATGTGCACCACCATGCCCACCTTTTTCCTTAGATTTTGTCAGTCAGACCCTCCTCAGAAGCAAACAAAAATGTAAAGTCAAACAATCTAAACAATTTTATGATCTTTCTGTGGGAAGCTGTGAGTAGACTGTTTAATCTGAAAAATCCAGTTGTGTAAACAGATTAGTTGCAATGTTAAGCAAAGGGGCCTGTGTGTGTCAGTTTGAGTTGAGCACATGTGAATCAGAGTGCTGTGTCCAGGCCTGCTGGTTGGATACTGAGAAGTCTCTTTGAGAGAGACTCTAGCACTTCTGAGCTACTACATATCCATCCTTTAGATCAGGGAGTAAGGATCAATGGAAGGTATGAAATTCACAGTGGGATCATCTTGAGTGACCTTGGAATAAATTTAAAATATGCAATCATAATCCAGGTTCTTTCTGTTATTTTTTTAAATTATGGACTTCTTGCCTTCTGAGTCTTAAGTAAGTGGTTAGTGTGTGCCTACATAATACCAAACACTTAAAAAATGAGAGGGAAAAAGGTAGAAATTTCTGATATTCTACATTAGGTGATAACATTTGGACTTGCCCGCTCTGAGTTTAACCATTTGGGGAGAATTAACTTTGATGAGTTAAATTATTGATCAGAATATTATATGGCTACAGCATCACCACTTTGGGGAGCATCAGCAAATACCAAGAGGAAAAGCCTCCATGGACTGTCTTCTTTGACTGTCTTAAGTAATTCTTATCATTGGCCCCATTTCCCCTCTTTTTCTGCACCTCTTGTCTGATTTTTTTTTTCTTTTTTTGTGTAGAGGTGCAGTGGAAGGGTCAGCATAAGTAAGGTAGGTGTAAGCAAGGCTGGCCAAGGACTCATCTGACAAAGGCTGAAGATCAAAAAGGGAGAGAGAAGACAGGGTGAATTCAGTTGTTTTTCTTGGATTCCCTTTCTGTATTTGTATAGTTTAAATTTGCAGGATAAAAGTTTAATAGTTATGTTGATCAGTTTTCTGTCACTGTGACAAATATGTGAGAAAAACAAATTAAAGGAGGTGTGATTTCATTTAGCTCAAGTTCCCGAGGTTTCAGTTGATGATCAGCTGGCTCTAAGACAGCTAAATACAGGGGAAGAGCATGGTAGAGAGAAGCTGCTCACCTCATAGCAGCCAGGAAGCAGACAGACAGGGGAAGAGGCGGAAAAGACATACACTTTCCAAGGTACTACCCCAGTGACCTCTGTCCTCCAAGTGGGCCTTGCTCCCTAACAGTCCATTTGGCTGTGCCCTCATCATTGGATCGATGCATTGGTGAGGACATGAATCTCTGGGGAACACATCATATTTAAACCATAGCAGCAGTCATCAGTAAATGCAATGAAATGGGGTAGCTTTTGTGTGGTCCATATGTAAAACATCAGTGATAGTGTATTATGTAATCTATATAGTAAATAAATGTGGTACACAGTCATTCCTCACTATCCATGGAGATTGATCCCAGGAGCCCTTTTCCTTATACCCAAATCTGTGGGTGCTCAAATTCCTTGAAAACAAAAGTACACATTCAGTACAAACACAGGAGTTTTTCCCCCTAAATATTTCTGATCTGCAGGTTGTTGAATCATCTAACGTGAAATTCAGGGATATGGAGAGACACCTCACCCCAACCTTTTTTGCTTGGTACTAAGGATTTGAACTAATGGCTTTTATACAGAGCTATATCCCTATCTCCTTTTTAATTTTTTTAATTTTGAGTCAGGGTTTTGCTGAGTTGCTCCAACTGGGCTCAAACTAGTGATCCTCTTGCCCAACCTCAGCCTCCCGGAATGCTAGAATTACAGACTTGTATTGCCCTGCCCTGCTAGAGCCTATATTATGCTGAGTCCATCTCAGCACTAAGAAGACCGTATAGGAAACCTTCAGATTTATGGTGGAAGAGAAAAACGTGTTTGTTGTAATCAGCATTGATAAGTGTGTCTTTTTGTTTTTGTTTTTTCTGGAGACAGGGTCTCACTGTGTTGACCACACTAGACTATCCTTGAAATCACAATCCTCCTTCTCAGCCTCCCAAGTACCTTGGATCAGAGGCATGTTCCACCATGCCCAGCTCTTGCTTGTCTTTTTTATTAGCCTCCCAAAAATGGCTAATGAAGTAACATTGAAGATACAGTTTGTTCTCAAGTGCCTAAAGTTTGAGTTTTATAATTTTGTTTGTACATACATAACAACTGTCAAAATTCCAGCAGAAACAATAGGTTGGAACTCATCAGGAGAATGAGTTGTAAAGTACTTATATAAAATAATGATTTATGTAGTGAGATCTAACCATGGGATTTGTGTCATCTGGCAAATAAACAGTGTGTTAGCGCCACTAATTTATGATGCATGCATGGCTCTCTCTGCCATGATTAGATGTTAGCTGGGAGGGAAATGTATGTATTTTGTATTTGTAATGTATTGACTTTCTGATTTATTTGGAAGTCAAGCCACTTAGTATTACAAATAAGTGAATACTAATTTTTCTTCCTAGACTCTGTGGCCAAAGGCAGATAATTGTATTGCAGTGAAAAGTTGAGGGACTCATGGTTTCTTTCTTGATCAACTTTAAAAAAAAAGTCCTTCCCCCAAATACGGGGAATTGAATCCAGGGCTTTGTGCGTGCTACGCACTACCACTGGGCTACATTCCCACCTTCTTTTTGTTTTAAGGTTTCGTTTTGAGAGAGAATCTTGTTAAGTTTCCCAGGTTGGCCTTGAACATGTAATCCTCCTGTTCCAGTCTCCTGAGTAGCTGGGAGCCATCGTGCCCAGCTCAAATTAGTTTTCTCACTCCCACCATTAGTTGCTGAGCCTTAGTGTTGCACACGTCCTGAAGAGCAGAACCTCCTGCTGCACCCAGCAGTGAGTCCTTTATTTCCCAAGCAGAGACAACAAAGTAGGGTTTGGATGTGTTAATGGTTTTCCTTACTCCCATCCTCTCTCACTTTCATAATGTTCACCCTTTGTTGTTTCTTCCTATTATATGTATACATTTCTGCTTTGCTTTTTGCTGCTGTAATTCTAACAGTGGGGCCTTAGAAGGGGAGAGAATATCTTTGTAAGCAGTGTCTTTCCTTAGTGCTATAGCAGGTGGTGGCCAGAGATACTTTTGCAAAATAGAATTCACTGTGTAAAACGAATTGTACAGCACTAACACCACATCTCTCATTTTCTTCTTGTTACCTAACAACTACCAAAGACTTGCTGCATTGCCCCAGATTCTCCTGTTTTTCATTTATATGGTGGGTTTCTAGTTATTTCAGGGGTACCTCAGGCCAGATTCTGACTCATTACTGAATTGTAGTCCCTGAAGGTGCTAAACTCATATGAATTTTCAGTTACCATGTGTGATCCGACAGTTTCTAAGCCATTTCCCATTGGACTGTGCAGCAGTGTTCCTAACTCAGTGACAACAGTGGCTGAGCTCGCCATCTAGTGGTAGTAAAGCAGATCGGGAAAAGCAATAGAGGCTCATTGTAAGGGTCATCGGGTCAGAAGAGAAACGCTCTCAAGTGAAGTAAGTCAGCAAGTGGAAGTCTTCTGTCCATACACACATTGTTCATCTTCTCTCAGTATAGTTCCTGACATTCCTCAAATTGCCATTCTATGGTTGGTAAGATCCTAAAGCTCCTTATTTTCTCACAAATTTGGTGGGTTGCCTTGTAATTACCAATATCTTAATTGTTTCTTAATTGTTTGAGTGTTTTTGCCTCAAATTTCTGAAAAAATTTGTAAAGCTAATAGGTAGGGGTATACAAAAAAACATTTTTGTGCTTTATCCTGTGAAGGTCACAAAATTTTCCTTAGATGCAGAATTTTGAGTGCAAGAGAGGCCAGGCATATCTCCCTGCCTCAGCCTGCCAAGGGAGAGAGGTAGGGAGGGTATGAGGTCCTGCATTTCATGGAGGGTGGAAAGTGGTGTGGAGCAACAAGACCAGGGGAACTCTTTCAGGGGCCAAGGTGAAAAGACCCTTTCTCACCACGGAGACTAGAAAGCAGAGGTTGGAGAAGAGAGACCTATGTGTACCTCTTGGAAGGGCTGGTGTCAATTAACTCAGAGGAAGCTGTGGAAGACTCCACTACCACTGGGAGAGATGGCTGCCCTGCTGGAGGGTTTGAGACTCTCCTGGCTGCTTTAAATGTGCTTCTTTCAGGGTCAGGGCTTTAGCTCAGCAGTTCAGTGGCCTGCCTTGCAAGCACAAGGACCTGAGTTCAATCCTTGGTACCAAAAAAAAAAAAAAAAAAAATCAGTGTGCTTCTTTCAGTGACACCAGCAAGAAGCCTGGCTGGAAAAGGGAGACAGCTGATGTTTGCCTTCTAGGAGTACAATAGACAGGTTTCAGTTCAGAGTCAGCCTGAAAGCGCAGAAAGAGCAGCCCCTGAGCATGGCCTGGATGAGGGTAGAGAGAGGACCATCCCTGATAACAGGGAAAGAAAAACCTTCATATTTAAAGCTTCAGGATGAAACAGATGTTTCAGGATTAAATTCTATGTCACACTGGTGCCTCCTTAAAACAGGAGGAAAAGGCCTTAATTTAAATAAATATTTAGTTTTAAAGCTTACTTTAAAAGTGTTTCTGTTGCTCTGAAGACATAAATTTTAGTATGCTGGGTTTGTTCCAGACCTATGTGTATCTTCTAATTCATTTCATCGTCTTTGTGTTAATCTTTGTCCTTGTTTGTTTATATTTGACAGATTTAAAAATAGACTGCTCTGGGCTGGGTATTTAGCTCAGTGGTGCCACTGTCTGCCTTGCAAACTCAGGGTCCTGAGTTCGATTCCCAGTTCCAAGAAAAAAAATAGACTTCCCTCTTTTTGAAAATGCATTTATGAAAGCCGTGAGTGAAGAATGTATCAAACCTGAAGTATAAAAGAAAATGACAAGAATTACTTTTTTATTTAAGCATATAATGAAATTGTGTTGTTGACACATCAAAGGGATAGATACCTATAAATAAAACATGAGTATATTTCCTAACTGCCTAAGACATACATAATATTTCAAAGATGTTGGAAACCAGGGAAATTTTATTTTTCTCCAAACAAATGTGGCTGATTTTTATATCAACACCTTACAGGGCATGCTGAGGCTTTGAACAAGCATAATTTGTTTTTGTGATCTGTAGAGTGCTTTCACTTACATTCTCATTTGATCCCTTTAACAGCCTTATCAGGTAGTTGCAGATGGATCATAATCACCATTTTACAGATAGGAAAGGTGAGACCCTGATGTGGAGACTTGCCACACAGTGTACAGCTAGTAGGATGCAGATCCTAGACCAGAAGTCAAATCCCATTCCATAGCTCACTTGACTGCACTGCAGTGGCTGATTTCAGTGATATCTGAAGACCCTCACGTGATACAAACTATCTTTGTGCAGGCTCTTCGTTGCATGAGTCCCTCTGTGCTTGGTATATCTTTAAAATGCATTAATTTTTCAAGATATAATTCTGTAATACTCTTAAGTTTAAAAAATATAAAAATCTTTTGCAATTGAATGTGGATAAAATTTTATAATAATCAAATGCAGGCAATAGGATGTTCTATAGCTAGGAAGGGAAATCACATTACAAACAATTTTTTTTTTTTTTTTTGGTACTGGGATCAAACTCTGCCCCTTGCCACTTGCAAGGCAGGCAGCAGAACCACTGAGCTAAATCCCCAGCCCGACAACTTCTTTATAATCATTAAAATCTCATCAAATTAGGATTTGAATTTTTCATCATAAAATATTTTTGGAACTATCCTTTTTAAATTCAATACTTAGGATGACCTTTTATAGTTCTTTATTATTGCTATCAAATGTTTAAGTAATATGAAGCCAAATTATATATGTGTATAATGATTTTATGGCCTTTGTTGAGTTGTTTTGTTACTATTGTTTTCCTCCTTAATATTCTTCCCTTACTCATAGGGCTGTATTATTTATCCACTTAGAAAGTTTCTACACTGCCAGCTTTTTGAAGTTCTCAGTAGAGCTGGAGTTAGGGCATGAATCTCCCCCTTCCGTGAGCGTGGCTATGAGAAGCTCTGTGCTCTGCTCCTATGCCTTGCTGGTTATCCTCCAGGTCATCTGCATTTTCCCTCTTGATACATAAAGTTTGTGTAATAAGACTCTTTCTTTCTTTTAGTTCTCATATTTCATCATAATCATTTGAAAATAAAATAATTTCTATAATTTTTTCTAGATTGAAACTGGAAGAAAGAAGAAAAGAGCTGCTACAGAAACTTGAAGAAACTACTAAATTAACTACTTATTTGCATTCACAACTTAAAAGGTAAGCCTACTAGGGAAAAAAATGTTTTTCTGACTATCATTCGGCCATGTTCTGGTTTATCTTTGGTTAGTTAACACTTTATTTTCAGCTATTTAAAAGTAAATGAAACAGTTATAGTTACACAAATGTAACTGATAAATGACCAAATTTAAACTCACATTTTTTTGTGAACTCCAAGGTCATATTTGATTAAATACATTTGAAATATATTGTAGGAAGATGTTTTAGCAAAACATCAAAAAATTAGCAAAATAGCACGTTTCTTCTATTGCCCCATCTTTAAAAGGGAGAGTGGGAGAGATTTACATTAAAGTAATTAGGCATAGATTTTCTTATATTGATTAGAAAAATATTCACTCTTACATTAACACATAGAGAAGAGGAAAGGTAAATTAACCCAGGGGCCTTTGGTGTAACTTGTGGATTTTAATAAGCTTGCCTTTTTTTTCCCCCCTCTTAAAAATAACCGTAATGGCCAGGGATTTAGCCCAGTGGTTCCACCACCTGCCTTGCAAACACAAGGACTCAAGTTCGATCCCCGGTACCAAAAAAGGGGGGGTGTCTTTTTTTAAAAAATACAGTAACTATATAACATTTTATGCTTATCATTCTTTATTCTTTTAATATTTTTTAATTGTGAAGTTACTTCTGTATGGCTATATAAGTTGTCTTACAAATCAGTATGTGGTCCTTTTAAAAATTTTTGCAAAAGATAATTTTTAATAAGAACAGAATTGCTACAAAGAGTATTTGTTGATTGAGGTTGAAAATACTAGTGAATAAGTAGGGAAATAGGTATTATAATAGCAAGTTCCTCTGCTCTGGTCATAGATTTCTTTCTTTGGCATTAGTGGTTTCCTTTCCTTCCAGGGTCTGAAGGAGACAGTAGGGGTTATGAATGGGTTTTCCATGCAGTGACGGATTTTTACCATGTGCTTTTCTCCTTTCAGCCTCTCCGCCAGCACGCTGTCCATGTCATCAGGGAGCAGCCTGGGTTCCCTAGCGTCCAGTCGGGGCTCTCTGAACACCTCCAGCAGAGGGTCACTGAACTCCCTCAGTTCCACTGAGCTCTACTACAGCAATCAGGGCGATCAGATAGACGTGGATTATCAGTATAAACTGGACTTCCTTCTGCAGGAGAAGGGTGGTTATGTTCCTTCAGGACCTATCACCACCATCCATGAAAATGAGGTGGTCAAGTCCCCCAGTCGGCTGGGTCAGAGTGGACTCTGTGGAGCACCAGTTGCAGCGACTGGTCACACACCCACCTTGACTGAGGCCCCCAAGTCTGTGACATCCCTGTCCTCGAGATCGTCCCTTTCTTCCTTGTCCCCTCCTAGCTCTCCTTTGGTCTTGGAAGGCGCATTTCCCACGTCTTCTCATGAGGCTTCTCTTCATCAGTTCACCACTGACTTTGAAGACTGCGAATTGAGTAGCAGTTTTGCAGATATCAGCCTTGGTGACAATCAGATATTGCTGGATTCGGATTCTGGAGGAATATCTCAGTGTCTTTTAGAAGATAAAGACCTTAACAAATGTGCTAGGGAGCCATTATTTGAAGGAACCACAGGTAAATGTATACCTTTCCTTTCATGTATTCCCTCTGAATTATTTTAAGAAGAATGATTAGATTACTTTTTCCTTATAATAAATGGTCTAGTCCTCCTCCTGAATATTCATTTTTTACTTCACTTAAGGAGTGCTTGTTTATTCACATACTTGGATTTTTTTTTATCAGCTAAAATTTATTTCCCTTCTTATTAGATGTAGTTACCTATTCTGTGGTCCAAAGACCCTCCGTGTGTGGTAGCTGGGTAAGAACGTGTGCCGTGAGTACCTTCCGTACTCCCAAATGGACTCTAGTTCTGAAATAGCAAGGCAAAGAAGATGGCTTTCTAATAAAAATTGGCCTAAAACAGATTAAAACCAAGTCAATGAACATACCAGATAATTAGCGCCAAGGTTCACTGTTTAGATGGCTCAGAACATTCTATATAAATACAGTTTTTGTTTCATGGCAGCCTCCCTCTCTGGCTGAAGTCAGTTTGGAGAAAGCCGGTTCCAGTGTATGGTAGTACCCTGCCATCTTCTGGTTGCTTTAACAGTTGCAGCCCAAGGAAGAGATTGAGAGAGATTGAATCCTTACATATGCACATGTGCTCAGAGAGACAGAAACAAGGAGAATTTCATTTTTAAATTTTTTTCCCTTCATGACAAATTTTTAAAATATTCGATACAGTTGTAAAGAGCACAAGGTGCTTCCCTCATTGACAGATGATTCTGTTTTATGTCAAGATTTGTGATCTATTACCGTGCCAGTTTGAGGTGAATGTGAAACAAAAGCTCTGGTTCTCCTCCAAGGGACTCCTGTTCGTTTCTATATGTGTGTGTTAATGTGCTCCACCACACAAAAATGGACAGGCCTCTGTATAACTAATTTCTTGCTATTTTTATGTGTATGCATGGTCCTATTAATTGATTGGCCAATTCAGATGTTTAAAGACATAGACATCCAATTTGTTTCCTTGGTTACAAATACTAAAGCCGGAAATGCTGTGTTCTCTCAGTGGCCGGGGGCAGAGGTGGAACTTACCAGATATCCGTGTGGAAGGTGTGCCTCTTCCTAGGGAGGTGCCAAAGCTACCAGGGACATTATTGAAGGAATTGACCACAAAGCAGATAAGCACGGGAGTGATGCACACGCAGTGGCTCCACCACAATTGAAAACCACCACGGGGTCACACCTCTGCTTCTAGGAAGGTGTGCAGTAGGCTCTGGGTTGCACGCCGTCCCTGGAGCTGGTCACAGCAACACTTCCACTGGGGTTGCCATCTAGGCCATTTTTGCCAACCCTATTAACCTTGTCTCTCAGGCTTGTTCTCGTCTGCAGAGTTGGGAAGATAGTCTTCCTTGGAGCGCCTTAGAGGGTTAACGAGGAATGGAAAACATATAAACATGTCTGGCAGCTGCACTCTGCATGGCAACTGTTACTGTGTGGCGATGATAATACAAACACTGCTTAGCCCAGTCTCTACCACTGACAAGTTAGGAAAGAAAGCACCAGGAAAGAGGAGAAAATGGAGTGTTCTTTGTGTCGTTTTTCTTATTTGGATCTTGTATATCTTGAGCATCCCAAGTGACTTTGCCCTTTAAATAAAGTGTTCTCTGGTGAACACTTGTCAGCATCCCATCATTGTGGAGGACCAGTGTGTGAGACTGGATACTGAAAAAGGGGAGCAATTATGAAAAAATTGCCCAAGGGCTGTCACCCATGTGGTGATCCTGTTGCCCAGGGTGCCTATCTTGCAGATGTCCCACTGGCTGGGCAGTGCCTTGCCCTGTGTCTGTGCATGAATTTGGGCCATGGCTGGATATGGCTGTCTCCAGAGTTCCCATGAAGTAAATTTTAACTTTTAAACATTAGAAAACTATTTTTTAAATGTCACCTCAAGGGCTAGGGATGTAGCTCAGTGATAGAGTGCTTACCTGGCATGTGCCTCAGCACCAAAAAAGTCACTCAAAAGGAAAATACATCCAAAAGCTTTGTTTGCAGATAGTTATGAGTTTCATATCTGCAACCCAAGTATATATTTAGCCATGAAGACTAATTCTTTGAGGTCACCAATGTTTGGTCAATTCAGGTTACATCTGCCTTCCCCTTGAAGGAGGATGGCTCTCTGTGAGGGACAGTGTTCATCTCTCTCGGAGTCACACAGGTGAAGTTGAGTCCCTTTTATATAAATTTTGTTCCCCAGCACCAATCCCTGCTGGATGACAGAAATGAAGTTGGAATAACTATGAAGTCTTTCTACAGTCAGTCTCTGTCATTGTCAAAGTCAATTTCAGGCTGCTGTGGTTATTCCTGAGGGTAATCAATAAATCATGTCATCACCTTCACCCCTTGCAAAGGGGACTGGGTGGAGAGAAAGCACTTCATCATCAAGTAGAAAGCATTCCCACTGCCAGAAATAAAAGGGAAAATGCAGCAATCCATCCTGTAATCTGAAGCCTTAAAACTTAAACATCTTAACAAGATGTAAAGTCACGACTCAGAAGGGGGCCGAAATGCATACCAATACTGATCCGCTGGCTCACTCACTCCTGGATGAAAGGACTCCGCAGGCTTGCAGCTTATTACAGTACTGAACACAGCTTTAAATGAATGCTCCTTGCTCACTGCAGGATGCTGCTATATGAATATGAGTTAGAGATAAAAGTTAAGTGGTAGTTGGTACTAAAGATTCAGTAGCACAAAAAGTTGTTTTAATGGTATTAGCTAGTGAGGAATTCCTCTTAAGTCAAAGATGTTTTTCTTTAATTTCTGTTAGAATAGTAGCACAGGAGCCAGAGAATGTGGTACATCGAAAGAAGCAGAGAGCAAAAAGGTAGAAACCTTTCTTTTCCCTTGAGTAGCTAGGAACTCTCCAAATAGAAATATCTCTAGTACTTGAGAGAGGCACAATAGTTTCTTACCCACAATGTATAGGAATTTGTGTATGCTCTAAGGAAAGAGGGTGTGGACCACCTTTCCTTAAAATATTTCAAAACCAACAAAAAACAGTGTCTTTTCCCAAATAACAGTTGAATTAACTGGCTCCCAGGATTCTCTTAAGGCACAGCACTTCGTTGCATCCACACCTGTTGATATGAATAATAACATCCTTGTTTCTCATAAGGAAACTGTATTTTGGATTTCTTATAATTGAACTGTGTATTTTATATTTAATTTTTCCTAATAAGAAATCCTAATTAGGATTTCTCAATCACTCTCCCCTCCTTAGATGTGGAAAAATCATTACCAAAAAGAAGAGTAATCCATTTGCCTGGGGAGAAAACCACTTGTGTGTCTGCTGCTGTATCTGATGAATCCGTGGCTGGAGACAGTGGAGTCTACGAAGCCTCCATGAAGCAGTAAGGACCCAGCACAAGTGTTTTTGCTGCTCTAAATCTCCTTGTGGCTTTTTGTAGTAGGCCCTGTGCATTATATATTATAAACATGCAGTAGCTATTAGTCTACCCTTTGGAATAGTAAGGACCTTAGCCATTAAAGAAATGGTGTAATTGAAAATTCCAATATACCAGAAATATCCCATCAGCCATGGCAATAATGGACAGATTGGTGTAGTGAGACCAGCTGACTCTTATTAACACTTTAAAACCTTGATTTTAGTGGGAATGTTGGAGTGATTTGCTAAGGCCTATTCAGCAAATAAAGTTTCTTGTGTGGATTTCTGATAGCCTGGCATATCTGAAAATGTGATGTAGCCTAGTAGGGCTTAAAAAAGTTAGATACCAGAAAGTCTGTTCCCTCAGCTCAGAGGCAGACTCTTCTTAAAGAGGTAGAGGAAGCTTCTGAAACAGCTTCTGCTGGAGTCATTTCCCCTGCAATAGTAAAAGAGTATTGTTGGTGCATGCACACCCATGTTTATAGCAGCATAATTTGTAAAAACTAAATCTTGGAAACAGCCCAGATGCCTGTCAGTGGATGAATAGATAAAGAAAATGTGGTTTTTATATACAATGGGGAGTACTACTCTGCCATAAAGAAAGATGAACTTGAGACATTTTTAGGTAAATGGATGCACCTTGAGGCCATACTTTTAACTGAAATAAATCAGACACATTTATAAATGTGTTTATAACTAAACACGTTTAAATATACATTGTTTCTCTTGTGTGAGAAACAAAGGATAAGGATCAAAATGGATAATAGCTATTGGGAAGTAGGGAAAAATGTTCAAATGGGAAGAGGAACAAGGAAGAGGGGTGGGAAAGATAAGGAAAGGAAAAGGAAAAAAGCGAATAGAAGGAAAATGGGAACAGACCCTTTGTAAATAAGGAGAGAAAGAAGGCTAGTTGAAGGGAGGAGAGAAGAATGGGAAAAAAAAATCAAGATATATATGTAGGTACAAATTCTCGATGATGAATGTAATCTTTATATCAAAAGTATACCAATAAAATTAATTGTAAAAAGTACAAAGCCAAAAAAAAAAATAATGCTGTTAATTCAGATGTTTGCTCAAATATTTAGTGGCAAACGGCAACCATGACAGTCTTTATTCCCATTAACTGACTGTTCACCTACTCCCTATTCCTAGACCTAATGAAATAGAAGATGCTCCATATAGTGAAGAGGATGCGACCATAGTGGAGAGCGCCCAGGTGCAGATAGGACTCAGGTAAACAGTGTGCATGGAGGGGGAGCAGTTCTCCAGACCTGAACAGCCACCAATGGCTTGTGGATTACTTCTTATTTCATTCAGCTTCTCTTTTGACAGATATGATGCAAAAAGTTCCAGTTTCATGGTGATTATAGCACAACTCCGAAATCTGCATACCTTCTTGATACCTCACACTTCAAAAGTGTAAGTAAAATCAGTGAAGATCAAATTGAGATGCTTAGAAACTTTCATGCAAGATAATTTACACTGTGATCAAGCAGTTCATCAAAATGAAGATATAGGAAAGACAGCAGGGCTGATCGTTTAAATCAACAGTAGATGAAGAGCAAAGGAAAATGTGAGAGGCAAATTGAAATTTTGTCTTTGTTCAACTGACTCATCATTAAGAATAGGAATCAAGACTTTTTATTTCCTTTTTGGCCAGGAATCTTGTGTTATGTTGTATCAGTGGCCAATTCCTTAAAACTGGATTAAAAATTTTATTATTGCATTGTAGTTACTGCTATGTTTGGAGAAATTTTCTGATCTTTTACATGAAAATGAAGTGGTTCCATTTTATCAGTACAACACTGCCTCTCAAGCATTTTGCCATATTGTATGAAAAAATACGTTTATCATCTACCACTTCATTTCTTTATGACCAATTATTTCTTAAAGTCATTTCACTTTGTCAAACCAAGAAGCCCAACAAAATGATGGCGTAATGATACACAGTCCATTGCTTCAGGACTGTTCCCTTGCGTATTGCTGGAGATCTTTACCACTATTTACACTTTCTGAAGTCACACTGTTGCCAGATTTTAATTTAGCATCTCTGACCTAGAATACAAGATCTCTTTGTCCACGCTGCATTTAAACTTCCTGGAAGAAGTAGATCTTAGTAATATTTTGAACACCGGAAGGACTAGGACTTCGAATTTTTTTTAAAAAGCAGCTATTCAGGGGTGATCCCCAATACTCTATATCCAGTCAGGCAATGTTTTCCTTAACGGTAGGACTTCTTACAGAGTGAAAGTTGAAGTTCTGAGAGTTTGCCCTAAGATTTATTTTTGGGTAAATTCATATCTTCATGCCAGTGAAATAAAATTGGACCTGAGGAAGAAAGATCTAGATGGAGATTATTTATCAGGCAACAGAAGAACTGAGAGAGTGGTTATCTATCTATTGACAGTCCTCAAAGCTGGTTAGAAATAGGATTTAGGCAGGAAGTGGGCTTACAGGACTTCCTGAAATCAAGTCACAGGGTGACCGCATCATTAGTGATACCAACAAAGAAAGAAGGCATCAAGTGGCATGTGGCATGGGCAGGTCACCCCAAAGAGCCTACTGCACAGGCCTGAAATTAAAAATACTAGTGGTATTCACAGAGCACTGTCTTGATGTGACTTCTCCCTTCCAATATATGTGCGGTGGTATTGGAGTGTGCCATTGGTGGCCTTTTTAGTAAGGCGCATCAGGGAAAAGACAAGTCTGCCAGAGACTGGCTCTAAGCAGTAAGACCCAACTCTTAAGTCCAAGAAAAAAATTACAAACTACCAAAGAACATGTACTTTCTTTAAGCCCATAATGTGAGGGTGCATCTACCCTGAATTTCTACTTCAGCTAAGCCAATCATGGTCATTCTCACTGAACTCAGAGGAAGTCACAAAGTGTGATGACTCTCAGGGTATTCAGGAACAATAGTAGCACTCAGCCAACTGATGAATATAGAAGGTACTTCTGTTCCCTAATGTGTGATGTTACTCCTCTAATTCATCTGAACTTTCCTGAGATATATAGTAACATTTTTTAAAGGGATATTTAAGAGCCTTAACCTAAATAATGACACTGCTAAAAGTAATAACTAGTATAAAATGTCCTTAATTTTCTTTTCCCCCAAGTTTAAAACTTATTGTTTAATTATACTTCTGATAAGCAGAGTTGGGGCTTCTGCTGGTTGACAACAGCCATGGTATTTATGATAGTGGCTGATGGCCTGCCTGGTTCTATTTTGGGGAGCCCTCCCCTGTAGCAGAATGGGAAGAAAAACACTCCTATCTGCTTTCCCATTGCCTTCATGTCTGAACCATGTAAAATTTCTCTTGTTTGATGTAGAAACATTTTGAGATGATTTAAGTGGTTAGGCCCCTGGTACAGAATAAACCTGAAGGCTGGAGAAACAGAAAATTTTTTCTCTCCATTTAACTCTTTAATATACTTGTTGCTTATGGCTTTTCCATGAAGGCAGAGAAAAAAGATTGTCTTCTGTGGAACTTCCAGTCTTCCAGGGAGTAGGAACTATGCCTTAGTAAGATCTCAAATCAAAAGCAGTGGCCCAGGGCTCACCAGATCTTTAATGTTGAGCCTCCCTAATTAATGTTGATATAAAATAAAAAATACTATGACACTCCTCAGTTCTGCATTTGAATTTACAGTTTTTGTAATTAGAGAAAGGCATGTTTTAGAGTATGAATTAGATAAACTTGGAAAATGGAGACAGAGAAGATTTAGTGGATATTCTCTTTTTGTGATGAGAAGGAAAATACTTTCTGTTTCCAAGAATTCTGAGTCCTCCTCACATTATGTGTGCTTAAAAGTTTCGCTCTAAAGTAGCATTAGAAGTTATTGTTTTCTGTAACTCTTCCTTTGAGTTTTACAAAGCGTAAAACTCTTTCAAGAGTGTGTCATATCTGCGACTTCAGAGATATGTTTTGAACTGCTGTTTCGTCTGTTTTAAATTTTGTTAACAATATGCTACTTAGCCTTTCTTTTTCTCTAGTAGGATAATGTATTCCATTCCTGGGAAGTGATCATCAGCATCTCTTGTTTAATACTCAGGATGAGGATTCTTTGGGATAAAGTCACCAGTATCTACTTAGTGTGTCCCTGCCTTCTCAGGCTCAGAAATAACTTATTTTGGAATTGGCTGTACATGGGGCAGGTGGGACGTTAAATTCGTCTGCCCAAGGACTTTCTTCCTCTTCACTTTCCTATCATGTGCCTTTGCTGCAGTCCCGTGGTGAGTGGCAGGCTGGGCTGTTGCATGCTCAGGGGCACAGTCGGCACGGGTGGGTTAAGAGCAGAGCGTCTCTGCAGCTGAGTGCCGACCCATTGTGGCAGCAGTGCTTTCAGTTAATAATGAACTCCATGTTCCCTCATTTTCTCTTTTGCAGATAATTGCAAATGATAGCTGTAAATCCACTGTAATTTCGAAGTACCTATGAGATTCATTTTTACTTTCGTTCTTTACAGGTACTTTAGGGTTGCTGTTCTTCCCTCCTCAACTGATGTCAGCTGTCTATTTCGAACAAAGGTCCATCCACCCACAGAATCTGTGCTGTTCAATGATGTGTTCAGAATGGTCGTTTCCCAAACAGCCTTGCAGCAAAAGACACTGAGAGTTGATCTTTGCTCTGTCAGTAAACACCGCAGGGAAGAATGCCTGGTAGGATTCTTCATAGAAGTACCATTTTCAGATAACATGTATGATCAGATATTCTGAGAATTATATTTTCTGGTTGCTCTTTTGTCAGCCTTTAAACTACTTGAGACCTTGAAACACAGAGTTATCCAATACCTTAGAATACATCTAATGGTTGTTTCATGTCTTTTTCCACAAAATAGTGATTTTGATTGTTTCTTGTATTCTAGATCTTTAAAATCTGTTTAAATTTGTAATTTTTAAAATAAAGCTTGACTTTCCATTTCTACCCTTTGATTACAGAATTATTACCTCTCTTATGATGGTTACTTACGGAGCACACTGACTAGGTCCAATTCTAAGCCCAGTGCCGAGTCTTCTGTATATATTTTGTCTTTTAATCCCCATGGCAGTTTTATGAAAGATCAGTTAAGAAAGGTGTGATCATCCCCTATTTTCAGATGAAGAGCGGCTTAAAAAGGGTCACAAGCACCAAGTGATTGATGGAGCCAGATATCAAAAAGACATCCCACACATAGTTCACTGTTACAAATTAAAATTGAACGACACACTGCAGATGTACTTCCTTTATTCAGCTCATTTTCCATTGCCGTGGTGTTAGAGCTTACAGGATGCTGTGTTACTGTTTCGGACAACATGATGTTTACATGCTACAACAGAACACATCATAATTAATAGTAAGTTTGACACACTGTTGTACATGCTAACCAGCAGAGCCATCACCTACAAGTGAAGTTACATTGTGTTCAAACACTGGCACATAAAACAGTGTTAGCACCCAGCAAACAGTAGGAAGCACACGCCTTTTGTGATGAACAAAGAGTGGTAGGTTTCTTCTTAATTTTTCTTTTTTTTTACTTTAAAACATATTCGATAATAATGTCTAAAAATAAAATTAGAAATAAGCAAAGGTAGACTTGTTAGACTATCAGAAAGGCTTTAGTATAGTAGATGTCTTGTTTAATATATGTCAGTGACACTGAGGAAGTTATTAAATGTGTTAATTGGCAGCCTTTTAAAAATAGTATAGTTGAATTTAAATTCTGGATAAGTGTGTTGTAGAGAAACATAGAAGGCCTTAACTTTATTTTTAGTATATATTCTATTAACTTACACATCCAAAGAAAATTTTTGTTTCTTTTTCACTCAAGGACCACAGTGGAATTTTTACTTATTTTGAGTTTTTTCAGATAATAATTTTTATGAAATAATCAGACCACTTGTAGCACATTATAGGAAGTACTATGGTTTAGGCTTTGTCATTTATTTCATTTAAATGTTATCCATTAGTCATTTGATGTGGGAAAAATTGTATCTCACAAAAGAATCCCAGGATTGAGATTTATTTCTGGAGTCCCAACTAAGAGTATGAAGTATCTCCAGTTTTTAAAAAAATCCAGTGCTATATGTCATGAGTATTGCATTTTTTCCCTCTAAGGTAAGCTCACCTAATAAGTGTTATCATATCAGAAGGAACAAATACTAATTTAAACTTTTGATTCTCTTTCTTCTTTATTTTGTTTTGGTTTGGTTTGGTCTTTTTGTTTAATTTCCTTTAGGCTGGAACTCAGATCAGCCTGGCAGATTTACCATTTTCCAATGAGATTTTCACTCTATGGTATAATTTGCTCCCTTCCAAGCAAATGCTTTGCAAAAAGAATGAAGAAGGAAGTGAGGACTCTGCATTTCAATCAAACCAGCCATTAGTAGATTCTATAGACTTGGTGAGTCAAAATGAAGTCTTAAATAATGTGATGTGAAATGTAGACTGCTAAGAGACCAGTTTTTCATTCACTTTCACTGTCCTTTTCTCCTTTTTCTGTTTACGCTTTTCTCTCAGCGTCCTCAAAAGGAAAAGAATATAATTCTCATCCTTGTTTCAAGTATGATTTGTAAAAAGGTCACATCTTCAATGAAAATAAACTGATGTGGACCCCTTATTGTTTTAAATGACCAGGGAAAACCTTTTGATTTAAATTTACATTTTTGTACATCATGTTAACACATTTGATTCCATCATCAACTTACACATTTGACATGCTGATTTTTCAAGTTTTAAATTATTAATCTGAAACAATATGTTAATTTTCCATTGTAGCATCAACATGCCTAAGTATTTTTCTATTAAAAAGTTTGTTGTAGGACCCAGGATTTAGCTCAGTGGTGCAACCACCTGCCTTGCAAGCTCAAGGACCAGAATTCAATTCCTGGTACAAAAAAAAATTATTCTCAGGCAAGGGATTTAGCTCAGAGGCTCTGCCACTAACCTCATGAAGCACAAGGATGCAAGTTCAATCCCCAGTACCAAAAAAGAAAAGTTCGTTGTAACCAAGTCATACTAAAATGCTTCACAGTTTTACAAAGGGGTATTTTTTGAGGCCATGTGTCTCTGGTTTGGCATTTGTGGATATTGTTACTGAGTACAAATTTATTTTAGATTGCTGTCAACACAGAAAGAGGCTCTCATGAACAGTCATTCCTTGTTCTACCTCCTGTCTACCAAAGCAACCATTAATCTTCTTTCTATATAAATATACTTATTCTGGACATTTTATATACATAAAATAATACAATATTTGTTCTTTTATGACTGACTTCACTTAGATAATATTTTCAAGGTATATCCATAGTGTAGCTGTGTTAGTATTCCATTCCATTTTATTCCCAGGAAGTATTAAGCTTGTTTAATCCATCAATCAGTTGATAAGTATTTGGGTTATTCCACTCTTTGACTTCCACTTTTCAGTTTTTTGTTTTGAATAATGCTGCTGACAGCATTCATATACAAATGTTGGTGTAGGCATGTTTTCATTTATCATGGGTATATATAAAGGAACAGAATTGCTGGGTTGTGTAGTAATTCTGTATTTAACATAGAAGGACTATAAACTGTTTTCTTGGTACAGTGGGTTATCTGCTGTTGTGTATTCTTTTTTACAGTCTTGAGGGTCGAGCCCAGCGCTTTACACATGCAGGCGAGCATTTCATTTTATATATTCTTTTTTTTTTTTTTTTTTT